CTCTAGTCCATATAAGAGCTCCTTTAGATGAGCAAGTCATAGAAGATATTCGTATTTGTACAATGCTAATGTATTTTCTACGAAAGAGGAAACCGCAACAAATATGGAAAAGCTGTGGAAACTATACTTTGTTTTTATAGTGAAACATGTAGTAGGTAAACAGTCCTGACGTATATGCTTTGTTGCACCAGCTATTATATTGCATACTATGTACTACCTTTGTTAACATATGGATATTTTCTGGAAATGTACATTATTTCAGTGAAAACAAGCAGACACCGTATATGTTATAAATTTGTACATTATATAGCCTATCTGAGAGGCAAAGACGTTATCTCAGAGTGTAAAAAAGCATATACTTTTTCAAAAATTTTCTCATCGAAACCTATCGTATACTGTTTAATACGAGGATTGCCACATCCTCCTTGACTCATTTTACAAATATTTTGAAACGTCTAGTTGTTAGTTGTTTGACTAATATACTAAAATATGAACCAATTCATTATTTGAAGTGTGGTAAAATACAAGCTATAATTTTTTCTTATGCATAAAAAACCGTTTTCAAATATTGTTCGGAACTAATATTACTTGAGGCACTAACATAATGAACAGAGCTAACACTAATAAATTCTCATTATTATTGAAGTATTTCCGAACATTTGAATACGTATGATCCATTGCGTACTAGCTTTTATTATAATTTCTTGCTTGAGAAGAGAGGTCGATAATGGTATATCTGTATCAAGATGTTTAGCTTGGGCACAATGAATTAGTATCATAGTACAGTAAATACGTTGAAACAGCAGGGAAGGTATTTACATACTACATTTGGCATTATTCATTATAGAATCTTAAGGGACATGGCGTAACGTCTTTGGTCACGGTGTCAGGCCGAGATTATATAGTACAAATCTGTCAAAGTTACATGCATTTATATATTGCGCAAATTAACACAATTTTTCTGATAATATTTTCATCGTAATTTTGCTTGTTAATAAAAATGGTGTTTTTTACCCTGATGATGCACTGTAGATGACCCGCAGCAGATACGAAGAAATGATCGAGCCTATCAATTTACAGATTAGTATATTGTAAACAAAAAATGCAAAACCAAACTAAGACCTTCTCAATTACTTAATAGCTACAGATGTATGAAGAGTGTGAAACTCAAGCCAAACCTGTATCGATACGATACAAATGCGCCATCCTTGGCTCCATACTAAACTAAAACTGTAATGGCTCATACGCGTGGAACGGCTGTTGAGAGGCGTCAGGTTAGAACAGGGTAGTATTCTATAGCTCCGAGTGTCCGATTTACACATCCTAAATAATATACATTTTATTTGGTAACAATATGTCTCACAATCATCTTGACAAACTTTGAGAGATATTAGAATACAAGTATGTTAATAAACAAAAATTGGGAAGATATGGGACTACCGTTTGGATTCATTTCGTTATTACAATTTTAATTTTTTATTATGCTCACCAGATATCATTCATTTGTTATCCTAATAATCTTGAGTAAAAGAATTTATGAATTTTTGGACGTGTTTTATATCGCCATGGGGCACGAAATCCCGAGAAAATTTGACAAGTTATACTTATTATCCCGAGAAAACTATAGCCGGCTTTATCTGCTAACTCAATATGGATTTTGCACTGCGATTCAGCTGTTGATCAATGAACGCTATTGATTATCACGCGGGCGAAGTCGTGGGCTTATTCTAAGAAGTAAGAAGTTTGCATTAATATTTTATATTTTACAACTTTTTGCTATTCAAGATGATTTTGTGGCCTTAAAAATTATAACGTATTGTAGTTTTTCCACTGATGAGCTCGTTCACTTGTAATAAAACATGAAAGCCAGTTAAAATCAACAAACATGATAAGAGTAAGGAACGCGCATGAGTATTACCATAATTAAACTGGAAGTCAGAATGAAAACTGATTCAGAAAAGAACTGACAAAGGTAATCCCAAATTTCTCATCCATAACGTCTTTCAAACCATTTCCTTTTTTCCTCGCCACTGACAACCCGACTACCGGTGGTTAAGTGATGTTCACGTGAACATCGATGAGTCATTACAGTTTATGGTATAGATACTATCTCGATGGTAGAGTAAAATCTGTTTTATCAATAATTTAATACTGCAAGGATGAGCACACTTCATTGTTCATGGAAAATGGGGTGGACGTGTTCTATATTCATTCTTGCTAACTACTGTGCTTCCAAAGAATGACATCGGAAAAATGTGGCGGAAGGACTCCAAACAACATTTATCTCTAATATTTGTCTAATAGGTAATCTTGGCTTATGCAGGACCTATAAAGCTAAAAACAACAGAGAGAAATAGCGAAGTGAACTTTAGTGCTACAAAGACAAAAGTTATTTAAAAAAATGAGCAGTTTGTTCCTCGTTGAGGATCTAGCTCGACAAACTCATTTTCTCAAGAACAAATCCTGTTACGTAACTCTATCATGAATCCAGTACAGAAGTTGCAGTGACATGCGTCCAAAGCAAATCCAAACGAGTGGCGATCGAGCAAGTGCAACAATTGTGGTGATAGAAGAGACTCTGCACCCAGCCATTGTAATTAAAATGTTATCGTCCACAATGGCTATATGACCGCAGCATTGACAAGCGCTGCTCGCTGCCATTAGGGTCTGATAGCAAAACAACTGAGAATTCGCAGGCAGACAGCAATGAAATTGCTCAGGCTGATCAACTAGAAGCAACTATTGGCTGAGAAAGATGTTAAACTTCAAATCGGCGTGGCTTAATAACTAAACTGGATGTTAAGGAAATATGTAGATTAGAATCGTGTCAGTTTTGGCGGTAACGCCAGGCCTTTTAGATGACATGTAACGCCATCATAATGCGGTATAAACGTGTTTGAACAAAATCTCACAGACAGGCTAAGGAGGTTATACTCTACGAAGGGCCATGTTTCAACCAGTAAAAAAGAGAGAGAAACGCATATTGTGCGACTGATCCTCTGTCACGTGTGATGCTAGATATGATACGAATATCATAACGTATAGCGCATAAAGATTTTAGATGGTTAACACAAACTCAACACGGATTCTCGTATTTATGGACCATCTCTGAAATGATAGATTCAAGTGCATATTTGTGCCCACACAATCTTGTCCATTCAGTATCCAGTCACAATGCCAACATCAAAGCGGCTGCTTGAACATAGACATATATGGATTCACTCCATTTTCTTTGATGTTTGAGTTCAGACGACTGAATAGTTGTCATGTATTTGATGGATATTGCAGTAGGACATGAGAGATATCACTTCATCGAACCACTTTCTGGTTTACTTAGATCTTCCAATACTAATACTATTTTCTGTTACCTGATTGATAAGAAAAATGCTTTTAATTATACTACAAGCAAAATCATTATAATGAAAACCTCCAAAATACTCACCTTGGTGCAGTTTATCTTTCCTTTTATCGCCCAGTATCAAAAAATAATCTGAATTTCCAGCCTAAGAATGCTCCGATTGGGATTAGTTCTTTTCAGTAAACGAGTACAATGTTTCCATACATCTAGCATCAAACTCTCGGCATGCTATTCGTTTTCACCCCTGACAAAACCCTCACCTCAATGGCAAATGTAGAGATGAAAACGTGATGACGTCACGCTGGAACGTTAAGTCACAACTTTGGCCTCCGTAATGAATCTCAATTATTTCCGCTCACAGTAGTAAATGAATGGATAATTAAATGTATAATGCAACACTAGAGAAGATCATGTTAGTACGTTAAATTCAGAAGATGCGAAAATTCCAAGGTGTTTTAAGTCTCTGGGTACCCAGAAGAGGCTATTGTAGTAACAGCACACAGTCTTGATCCCACCATTCTATTCGCGAAAAACCTTTATAACTATCTTATTCACCCTCTATAGGCGAATAAAAACGATTAGATCCCCAAATAAACATCAAAATAGAGTTACTATAAAGGGATACGATAACATTCTCGATGCCGCGGACGTGCCCTTTGTCGGGATGGATACTACTGTGATTTTTCTCTAAGGACCACTGCGACCAGGACAGGCCTGACCATAGTTGAAACGGCAAAAGGAGCGAGCCAAAATAACCTGTACGGATCTGCAGGAAATGAGCCGTCTACTGAAAACAGGGATAGAAGCACAATAAGAAATAGTAGAGCAATCGCAGCATCCGTGACTGGCCTGATTCGTTGTCTGTTGCCTACTTCAATGTCTGTGCGCCAGATCCATCTCTTTTTTTAACGTGTACATTTGGAATGGGTCAACTATAAGCAGAAGATTAGGACCTTGTATTATATACATACATATACATGCGGTCATTTTGGACGGTTTTTGTTTATTATGAAACTTTACCTGTGATTTCCATAAGATTTTATAAGAACTGTTCTTTTCGAAGTTTGTGTTCACCTTGTTTTGTAGTTTTGCTGCTGGTGAACGGTGGCTTATGAAGGAAACACCCGCTCAAAGGAATGCGTGTTTGTTCTCGAAGATTGTACACGTGACGTCTCTGTGTCATTAATTGCAATGGCGTCATATCGGCTTCGCATGCGCTTGATGTGGAAACAAATATTAATACACACAAGGAGGAAGGTTTTGAGGCGTAAACACACCTTGCGTGTTTGAAACGTAGCTGCTGTAGTTTTATAACAATCAATAAAAGTTACACGTTGAGTTTTATGTCGGGAACACCCTTTATGTTTAAGTGCTGATACTGCAAATGTGATACGTCCACCGCAACTATCCATTTACGTGCAAGCAAGAGCACTCGCCATTATGTGACATCTTAACACTATACAAGTATACATGATACAATTCCAGCTCACGTAGCGTCACGCCATCACACACACTTCAGGATACCCTACACGCCCCGTGCCGTAGGAATCTGGTAATTACATAGAAGTCCAGCTCTGTTAGCAAAGGGCTCTCAAAAAGCTCTCGACATAGTCGTATCAGTTCATTGAAGTGTTTTTCTCATTTCAGGTGACCCGTCTGGCGTCATATGCCCTTTTGGCTCGTTCAGATGCCCCGAAGGGAAGTGCATACCATCGCTGTGGGTCTGTAACTACCAGAAGGACTGCGAGAAAGGGGAGGACGAGTTTCAGTCTTGCCGTAAGTATATGCAACTTTTTAAATATTTAAATGCGTTGCAAAGATGAAATACATGGTACCGATTTTTCTTGATATAAAGGGTGTCATCGAATATGTGGGCTCTTCATTTTTAACTATTTCAAAATTTGTGATAATTTTGAGCTTTGAAACAAAATGTTTAGAGAAATAAGAAATTTCTCATATTTCATTAAATGAAATTAGAAACTTTTTGTAATAAGCAGCCTGTGAGATATATGTTGTACCTGTTAAGATACTCCTTTTTCTCGAATCACGTGGTATTTATTTATTTTGAGTTGTAATTTCTGACAAACAAGTAACTAAAAAATTTAGTAATGTCGCATCGCAATTTTGAAACTTATAGAAGGGTAATTGAACACTCAGCACATCGCGCGATTGTAAACATCCTGTATAACTGTTACAAGAGAATTTAAAATTCTTCAAAATCTCCAAAAAGAATGAGATATGGAGCTCAATTTGACGAAAACAAGCTAACAATTTTGGGTGTTTTTGGACAGAATCTCTTGTAGCTTCAGTAGTATGCTATATTATATAATAACATTAATTAATTATATATGTATAATATAATAATCCTAGAAAGCGATATTACTGACCACTTCTCCACTATTTTACTGATATCTTCAAACGAAAAACATTCTAACATCCCTACCGTTAATAACAACCAGGAAAATTACAAATTTTTTGTCGACAATTCGAAACTAATATCAAATGTCAAACAAGAATCCTGGGAACAATTATACTCTATAAATAATATAGACAAAGCAACGGGACTGTTCATAGAGAAATAAAAAAACTAATAGATATTAGTACCAATAAAGTAATAATGAGTCGCAAAGAGAAAAGCAGAAATGCCTGGATTACCAAAGGATTAATAACATCGGCAATAGAAAAAGAAAGACTATATAATGTAATGAAACTAACGCCAACTACAGAGAATACCGACTGTTACAACCAATATAAAAATAAATTTATAGAGCTTGCAAGGCAAACCAAACGAAAACATTACCTAAATAAATTGAATAATAACTTAAATGATCCTAAGCGGCTTTGGCTTTGGACAACTATTGATGAGATTACTGGGAAAACAAAATTTAAAGAGTGTGTCACTGAGTTAAATACAACATCGGGAACAGTATTAAAAAATACTCAACAGATATGCGATGAATTTGTACAATTCTTTACTGACATAGGCAAAAATTTAGCAAGTAATATATATACAAGCAAATGTACAAAATACTCAGCCTCCAAAAAGAACTTTGAACTCATTTATTTTGGATAAAGTCGAACAATGTGAAGTATACACCACTGTTATGTCCTTAAAAAATCGGAAAAGTCCTGGGTTCGATGGTATTAAAAGCGAGCATTTGAAAATTATAGCCGAGGACATAACAGAACCACTCACTTACCTAATCAACAAATGCTTTGAATCTGGCATATATCCCTCAATTTTAAAAAAAGGTAATATAATACTGATACATAAATCAGGAACAAAAACAGATGTTAACAACTATAGACCAATATCAATAATATCCAGTGTAGCAAAGGTTTTTGAAAAAGTTTTATCTACTAGAATGATTCGATACCTCACAAAATTCAAAATTTTAAGTGAAAATCAATATGGATTTACAGAAGGGAAGGCTACATCGGACGCAATAACTAAAATTGTAAATCAAATATATCAAAATATTGATAACAGAATCCCTGCAATCTGCATTTTTGTTGATTTAAAGAAAGCTTTCGACACAGTTAATCACAAATTATTATTAGAAGCATTGGAGAGAATTGGTTTCAGAGGAAACGCGTACTCACTGATCGAAAGTTATTTGTCAAATCGCCCACAATCTGTACAGATATCAGGATCATTTAGTAAAGAAATGTATATTAAGTGTGGTGTCCCACAAGGAACTGTCTTAGGTCCGCTGTTATTCAATATATATTTAAATGATATTTTCCAAATTAATTGTGTTGGCAAAATAACTAGTTTTGCAGATGATACTGCAATATTATATGAAGGCACTGACTGGTCTGATCTGAAAAATGTAATTGAAAATGATTTTATAAAAATTATTCGGTGGTTTAACAGTAGAAAATTAAGCATTAACTACTCTAAAACACATCTTTTACCATTTGGATCTTACGCTAGATATCTGCCAAATTACACAAATTTCTCCTTCAATATTAATGATCAAAAAATGCAAATTAATAGAGTGCCCAACATAAAATACCTTGGAGTGGTCTTGGATCCTCACTTACGATGGGACATCCATGTCAATTATATTTTAAAGAAAGTTAGATTTGTATCCTACAAAATTAAATACCTTGGGAATATATTGACAGAAAAATATCTTCGAACATTATACCATGCACTGATTGAGCCTCATCTCACATATGGTATATTAGCATGGGGAGCTGCATGTTCCTCACATATCTATAATTTAGATGTTTTTCAAAAAAGTATTCTAAAAACGATATTTAAAAAACCGAAACTTTATCCCACTGAAAAATTGTATGCAGATGTTCGAATGTATGATACAAGACAGCTTTATTTCTTACACAGTATCACTCACTACCATAAATTTGTAAACACCGACCAAAAAATTAAACATAATCATTATACCAGGTACAAAATTCGTGGCACAGTAGTTCCTCAACCGCATAAATCTATAATGCAGCGATCATATCTCTATTTAGCGCCTAAATTTTATGAAATTATACCTAAAAACTTAAAAGATTTACGTTTCGGAAATTGTTTCAAAAGAAATTTAAAAAAGTGGCTACATTCTATATCTAGGACTGAAATTCATAAACTCATAAATACGAACATCAACTAAATACATAATCTACTGTAGCTAATTTTTGTCCTTTTTTGTCATTTGCATTCTACAGTTTCAACTTAAATTATTGGTCCATGTACAGGCGATGCCTTCTATTGGGCCTGTTTTGATTTTATATTTATTTACTCATATTGTTTGTTATCTTTGTACATTGAGTGAATAAATATTATTATTATTATTATTATTATTATTATGAAACTTCTTCTTTTGAAGAGGCCCCTAAGAATATACTAAAATATATAGATCATTCCATTCAAAAGTGTATGTGTTGCCACATAGTTATGGATCACCCTGCAGAGAGCATTAAATTATCCGAGTAAGGAGCGTATAGTTGCCTACGATATTTTGTAAATTACTTTAAGTATATTTGATAATAACGGAGTTATCGACCAATCCTGCAGTAAAAGATCGCCCTGCATGTATAGCATTGTTTGAAAAGGATTACAGCACATAATCCTACCTCTTGCTTACTTTTCAATACTTACCAGAAAACATTTGGCTTAGATAGGGATAAGTCCGTGAGGCAGTGCCATAATCTACTATTCTATTTTTTTAGAAAAGTGCGATTAATGCGCAAAAATAGAGATGCAACTGAGCAGATACAGCTTACTGTCGCCAACCTTAGTTTAATCAGACATAGTAACAAATTAAAATTATAGGTGATAGTTTGATCATGAATGAAATAATAACTAACTGGATAATTTATATGTTCGTATTTTGCGCTTGGTAGTTGCAGCCCGGGTTGGAACCTCGGTAAGACTTCACATCAAATATACAGGGTGTTTCAGTTTATTGTTGCATAACTTTAAGATTCGATAGAACTTTTAAAATGAATGCATAAAGTCTATATAATCATGGGTCGAAAAATTCGTGGCTTCCGAAATACAGGGTATTTAAATTTACTTCTAAAATAGTTTTTTTTTTAAATATTTCGAACAATATTTGATGTATAACAGTGAAAATTGGTATACAAGGGTTTTTTGGTACGACAAAACGAACCATGGGCATAGTTTTACTGTAGATGCTAGAGGGCGCTCTCTACTGTACCTGTAGTGTATAAAAATGACCGAAAATTTTTTCTTAGTGCAATTTTTTGCTTTTTGAATAAAAAAAATAATTCTTCGCACTTTTCAACATAAAAAAGCTCTCTTGTGAATTTTCGTTATAGTTAGCCGTTTTTGAGATATTTCGATTTATAAGGTTCGATGCATTTTTAATTATTTATGATAAAATAACGTTAAAAAGTCAGTGTCTCGATAATTTTTAGAAGTAGGCTGTGCCTGCAAATATTTTTGAAATTGAAAGCAGAATAAGGTTAAACGTCAATTAGTTGACAGTTAGTTGTGTTGTCTGTTGAAACCTGAAACGTTTTTTTGCAATTGTGAGTGCACGAAATTTAGTTTCTTTTACCTGTTTTTTTTTATAAGTTTTATAAAAATGCCATTTTTATTCTCCAATCAAGAGTTAGCGGATATTCATTTTGTGTATGGCTTTGTAAATGGAAACGCAGCAGAAGCAGCCAGAAAATACGCACGAGGATTTCCAAACAGACGACATCCAACTCGCTCAGTATTTGTAAGAGTGCATCGCCAAATAATTGAAAATGGTTTTGGAAATCTCCAAAGGGATCAAAACATAAATGTTCGTCAGCGCAGATTTACCCGTATGATTCTGCGTCAGTTTGATAGAGATCCGACCACAAGTGTTAGGAGAGTTTCTGGTGCCTTGGGAATTTCAGCAAGCCATGTTCACCGTGTTCTTAGAAATGACCATAGACGTCCTTACCATTTGCAACCTGTGCAAGGACTACAGCCAGGGGACGGAGAACGAAGAATCACATTTTGTCAGTGGATTCTTGATAGAACTGATAATAATAGGGAGGTTTTTTTTATACTCCAACTACCACGAAGGCCTATGGCCTAAACACCCATTGGGTACCGTGGGGCTATAGGGGGATACAGGGAAAAGGGGGAACGCCACACGGACTCTGGCGAGGGAACACGTGTGCATGCAACATGCACACATTCTGGCTCCGCCTACGAGATCCGCCGGGTGGTAGCTCCACGTTCGACAGTCAGAGACCGTCTACCACCTACGGACAATCACTTCATCCATAGCCAAGAGAAAAATTTCTTCTGGGACGGGACTCGAACCCGCACAGCGCACGGCGACTGGTCAGGAGACCGAACAGTCTACTACTGCGGCCACCGCAGCTGTCTATTTCAAGTAACGTTTTATGGACCGATGAGTCATGTTTCACTAGACGTGGAGTGGTAAATTTTCATAATCAACATATTTGGTCGCATGAAAATACGCATGCAGTTCGGGAAAGAAATTTTCAGCATGAATTTAGTGTGAACGTGTGGATTGGTATCTACCGTAATCGACTATTTGGACCCTACCTTTTGCCTGCAAGGTTAAATGCTGCGACCTTCTTGGAATTTTTAAAGGCTGAACATGCAAATATGTGGGATGATGTTAGGCTAGATTTAAGAAGATTGGCCTGGTTCCAGCTTGATGGTTGTCCAGCTCATTATTCGAGAATAGTTAGAAACTGGCTGGACGAAAATTATCCAGAAAGATGGATCGGCCGTGAAGGACCAGTCGCCTGGCCTCCACGATCCCCTGACCTAAATCCATTAGATTTCTTTGTGTGGGGATTTCTAAAAGAAAAAGTGTACCAGACTCCCGCAACCACAAGAGATATGCTAATAGACAGAATCAGGAATGCATGTGATGAAATAAGGCCTTATTTGAATAATGCTATACCACGTTCGATCATTCGTAGATGTGAATTGTGTATTGAACAATTGGGTTTACATTTCGAGCAACTACTTCAGATTGTGTATGTTTGTCCTAAAACTATCCAATAGCATTTTAGTTGTAAATAATTAATTTAATTTGTTAAAAATAATATTGGAAAATTTAACAAATCAGTATTCTGTTTTTGTGTTTATTTGGAGTTAGGAATTATTGCTGTGTTTAAAAACACAATCTAAACGATCATCTTGATTACTTGTAATGCCCAAATCGAAAATGTAAGAAAAATATTATTTTCCCATAAATAATTAAAAATGCATCGAACCCTAAAAATCGAAATATCTCAAAAACGGCTAACTACAACGAAAACTCACAAGAGAGCTTCTTTATGCAGAAAAGTGCGAAGAATCAGAATCAAAAAATTGCACTAAGAAAAATTTTTCGGTCACTTGAATACACTACAGGTACAGTAGAGAACGCCCTCTAGCGGCTACAGTAAAACTATGCCCATGGTTCGTTTTGTCGTACCAAAAAACCCTTGTATACCAATTTTCACTGTTATACATCAAATATTGTTCGAAATATTTAAAAAAACTATTTTAGAAAGTAAATTTAAACACCCTGTATTTCGGAAGCCACCCATTTTTCGACCCATGTTTATATAGACTTTATGCATTAGTTTTAAAAGTTCTATCGAATCTTAAAGTTATGCAACAATAAACTGAAACACTCTGTATATGGACTTAGATATTAACTACTAAAATGAGACTAACAGACCTGTTGCTGTAAAGTCAAAGGTTATAAAAATAATGAATAATGCGCCACTTGAGCTGTCGTTAAATAGGAGCAGACTTTATCCTCCGCCCTTGGTTTAATACACTGCGATTTGGATACAAATCCACAGTATTCGGTTACTGATTTCAATTAAATAAAACCAATTTTTTGATACCCACTACAGTTTTATTTCATTCATTTGTATTATACTATCATTCTAACTAAAATATTTGATTTACATTTTTCCGTAACAACGAACATTGATCTGATTGAGCGTCCACTCCATATTTTCAATTATTTCATATTGTGCTTGTTTAATATCAGTATGTAACATCGAGTTACTAATTAATTAAATCAGTTTAATGTATAGGGTAGTTTTTTATGCCTTTCAAAAAGGCAACGCTGCGATAATTCTGATTGATTATAATGATATTTCATACGGTCGAATAAATTTGCTAGGAAATTTCAGACTCCGACTAATAGCTAGACTAACACTGCTCCCCAGAATGAGAACTCACAAATACCTTTAAATAATGATGATTGATCATGGACAATAGAATTGTTGATGAATCTTAAGAGAGTAATTTAGCATGTTAAAGACTTATCTAAGCACTAACTTTTTTAAAAAAGTTGCTCTATACGTCATAATTCTTTAATGACTTATGAGCGGAAAGTTGAAATAGTTCTCTTAAGAATTATCTTTTCTGTTTTTGAAGCATGAACATTTCAAGGCCCAGTGGAAAGTATTTGTTAATAGGCATTAAAAGTGAATGTTTTTAGTTACTGGTACCAAATGTTCACAAAACAGTGAGCAAAACCGATCTCTAGAATAATATACTATTACACTCACCGACTGGTTTATCACAATCTAAAACGATCTAGGAATCTAAATAGGAATGAAAACTTAGTCCCTTACAATAGAGATATCAACATTCACGCTTTGCGAGGGACTCTGGAAAAAGTTTGAGTTGATTGTTGTCGTTTAAAATAATTTGGGAGTTTGAGTTTTTGATGGATGGACATTCCAAAACAGATCTGGAAGGTTTTATTTTGGCAACAGCCACGATTCTAACGCAAGTTGTAACAAAGGTTTACGAAAAATGTATAAAATGATGTGATGAAATGAGAGCCACTATATGATGACACTGACTCATTGATTCACCACAGCCCAAGCCAAATAAGCAAAAACCTAAACAACCATTATTTGGTAACATTTATTATGATACATTACTGAATTGAAGGTGTTTGCAAAGATCCACGCCATACTGCTTATTCGCTAGAATGAATTTTAAGCTTTTTACGTTTTTTTTTATTGCAGCTCCACCTGAATGTGAACCTGGCCAACTAACATGTCGACAGTACATATGGAACAAAACATACTGTTTTCCACCTCACTATCGCTGTGACATGACTGTTGATTGTATCGATGGATCTGATGAAACTGAATGCAGTAAGTAACATTATCATGAAAAAATAGTACAACAATGTGAGGATACTCTTAATTGTTGAATCAAAGTGTTGTTTTGGGGTGAAGCCCAAATTCGCTTTGATAAAGGTCATGGAGACGGTGTACTTAAATTTCATATTCCATAATACACATGTCTGTGTTATCAGTATATTTTTGTTTATCTGTCTCCCAAGTGACAGTTCATTTATTTTTTCTTTCATTCCTATATCGTGTGTTGCGACAACAGGTTGGCAATTCTGTGGCATGACGAGATCGCGCAAAGCCATGATTATAATTTTAAAATGGCACCGCGTAAAGCCAAAATCTCCTGGGGTAGGCATTTCTGTTCCCAACGCGCATCCAGCCCCTCAAACCAACAAGCGAATGACAGAATGGACAGATGGTGATTTATTCGATGGCTTATCCAGTCGTAAGTATGGTCACTCGCTTCGGTTTTCGACTCTATCGAATATAACTTTTCTTGCAAACATCACCACAAAGACATTTTAACATTGTTTCAAGATGCTAGCATAACCAAATGACCACTGCCATCACTACTACTTCGACAATTTTCATATTGCCATTATCCCAAGCGCTTGCATGTTTAGAATCTCTCAGACACCTTCTCAAATACTTTTTTTGTTTACATTTCCAACTCTCTTGTTCTATCGGCTGAAAGACTTACTACACACAATAAAAACATACTTCAAATTGTATAAATACATTGTAAACATGTTGTTACTTGTCAATAGTGCCTGAGCTTTGCCTTTTGAAGGATCACTGCTATTGCGCTAATGCACAAAAAGTGGCCCATTCTTATTTCCGTTATACAGGGTGACTTCGAAGTTGAGTCATTTATTTTAACAGTGAGTAGATCTGATCAAAAGAAATGTTTTTTTCCTCTACCATTTTTCTGGTAAAATTAAAGTAACAAAGTTATAGCCCTTTGGAAGTTTGAGTACCGCCCTGTCTCAATATCATGTGCTCGTGTTTGGCAACAACGGATATAATCCGCCTTACCGGTTCATCGCATCGGAAACAAAAAAGCGAAAGAATTTGGAACGACGTTTTTGCAATTAAGTATTTTATTCAGTTCAGTTATACATACAGCCGGTTAGCGTGTGAATAGTGTCTGTTGCGTGGCTCAAACGAAATAAAAAATGGCACATGTTTATGCGGATCGGTTTCCCAATCGAGTGCAACCAACCCCTCGTGCCTTTGTTAATGTAGTACAACGGGCTCGTGAATCAGGTGACTTGAAGACCTCACAGGGGACCTCACGATCAAATACAGGTCCGCACTGAAATACTTGTCGGGAGGATACTTTATAAAACTAGGTAAAAATTTTTTTTTAATTTTTTTTTATTTTTACACACATATTCTGGTTTATCTTCCTTCTACAATCATTATCTGAAAATTAATGACTCAACTTCAAAGTCACCCTGTATATTTTCGTTGAAAGTTATCCTTGTGACGTCATAACTAATATTAGCGTTTCTTAAATTTCTATATATCTAGAGAGCTTATGTAGATTTTATAAGCAATTGTCCTATTAAATGATCTGCTCCGAAGTTCTACATTATGTATTCCTGTTACAAATTCAGACAATGCACCTCTACATCTATCTGTACATGTCACCAGTAATTTGTTCAATCCGTGTTCGCAGACGCAATCAGTGTCTAATCTCATTTTCCGCTTCCCCTCACATGTACCATGCTCAATTCTCATTAAACAATTAACACGTAGGAAGCTTTGGAGCACCTAAGGCACACAAGACCGCTAATGCTAATCATGTTTGTTCCTCAAGTGTAGAATGGTGGGCTGCAGGTCTGTTGCCAGCCCAGCTTACAAAGCGTATCATCAATTATCAGACAGTCTCTGACCTCCATCCATCCATGGTAAAATACTTCTGGCAAAGTTTGTAGCGAGACAAAAATGATGCAAGTTCATGTTTCTGAAATTTTTGACTCAGCATACGAAATTGCTTATTTGCGACCAAGAAGGGCTTGGGGCTACAGGGGACCTAAGCCACATTTGTACAAAAATCTACATTTTTATTCAGGCGCATCGGTACTGTAGCTATCTATGCCTGAGATTGATTTTTGTTTGGCAATTCGACGATAGATGCCGCCATTATTCATGCAGGGCGTTTTTGACAGACCAATATTTCCATACATTTTTACGCCGAAAAGGACATAAGCCACACAGATGTCAAGATGGCCGCCAAGCGAAAGTTGATCACTGATGAGAATAATACATATTTCAGTGATACAGAGAGCGAAGATAGTGATGAATTTAGCTCAAATGATAGTGTGAAAGATGGAGATTACCATCCGAGTTGTAGCAGTTCCGAAAGTAACATTGAACGAGGATCTCAGGTGAATAAATAAATTTGTGGCTTATAGCCTTATTGCCGTTACAGATGTGGCTTATGCTTTTTTACGTGTAGAAACGACGTTTTATAATATTAGTCGCACCATACCAGTAGATGTGTTTAGACTAATTTTTAATGAAAATATATTTTAATCGTAATTTATGAGGGCTAACGTAGACCGCGAATAACTTCAATACGTGTCAAAATTGCATAAATTTTGTATGAGTGGCTTACGCCCTTCTTCACCAAGTAAATTAATCTTGTGGCTTGTGACCTTTTTCGGTGTTCCAAAATAATGATAAAATTTTTGGGCAATTTTATAAAATATCAGTATATTTCAATAAGTTCTTACGTTGGACTGAAAGAAGCAATAGCTAGGGGTGATAAAAGGTGGTTGTAAGTAGAGGAAAGACCTTTACTCTGGAGAAACCAAAAAATTTAGATGGAGAAAACAAGATGTTGAAGGAAGAGCAAAAGTAAAATCATGAAATCTTGGCCACAGTTACTTAGATTCTAGAGGTCGACAACGAGAAGCTAGAGTATTAGGTCCCCCATGCCAGTGCAAGAAGAACTGCAGACAAGTTCTCCAAGGAACTGAATCCAGTATATTCAACCAACAAAATACTTATCTATTTTCTACTATAAAACTTATACCGAAAACGAGAAGCTACAAAAAGAAGACTAAACGGCAGGAATCGGCTCGAAAAGTAGCGAATCAATATTTCGTCAAGGTAAATGGAGTTGACGTTCAAATATGTAAAACCGAGTTTTTATCTGTCCATGGCCTTCAAAACTCCAGTAAGCGATTGAAATTTATTGCTCGGCAAATTTCCTAAGGCAGAACAACTCCAAAGAGGGATGGCAGAGGCAAACACCAAAACAGGCCTAACAGAACGTCTGCAGAAAGAGTTCAGTTTGTTCATGACCACATTCAAGCCATTCCAAAATATGTGAGTCATTATAGTCGGAAAGTCAACCCAAACAGAGTATTTTTGAATCACGACCTCAACATATCGACACTGTACAAGGATTATTATGTTGAATGGTGCAAGGAACATGCAATAGCACCAGTAAAAGAAGACCGGTATAGGAGAATATTCTGCTCTGAGTACAACATAGGTTTTAAGTTGCCCAAGAGTGATACTTGTCATACGTGTGATCTCCTAAATAACCAAATGGAAAAAACTAAGATGAATATAACAAACTCAAGATACAACTGCAGCTTCATCAGACGAGAGCAGTTGCCATGCAGGAAAGTTTGAGAAAAGAAGTATTAGACAATGCAAAAAATTACACAAAGGATATTATATCTTTTGGTTTGCAGCAGACTCTTCACGCCTTCGCTCACTGTGGGCCCTGATTTCTATCTACGCAAGGCTTGGACATACAACCTTGGCATTCAAGATTGTGTCAGAGGCAAAGGTAGTATGTTTTTGTGGGCCGAAGCTACTGCAAAGAGGGGAAGTGAAGAGATTGCAAGCATCCTACTAAAATACAAGAGAAGTCTTCCGCCAAAGAGCACCTAGTGGTTTTTACGGATAATTGCGGGGGAAGGATTTTATAAGTCGATTGAACACCGTTTCCTTATTTCTGGCCATACTCACTTACCTTCAGATAGAGATTTTGCTATCATTGAAAAACATAAAAAGTATATTAAGCAGGTATACTGTCCAGAAGATTGGGTGGACATTGTGAAGAAATCAAATAGGAAGAATCCATCTGAGACAGTCTTATTGCAACAACAAGACTTCTATAAATTCGATTCTATCTGTATGACGAAAAAAACGTCACTGTAGGTAAGGAGCCCATCAAATTCAGTGAAGTGCGATGTTTCAAGTTTGACAGTGAACTTCCAAATTCTATGTTCATAAAACACAACCTTAACGGAGAATTTATTGAAGTAAATGTGGGTAAAAGGGGATCTAGACTAGGAGACCAACGAATCTTGAATAATCTGAGACCAAAATACGATGTCCGTGTAGCACTGAATGTCAAGAAGATCCAGGATCTGAAAAAGCTCTTAAAATACATACCACCCGTCAGTCAGCAGTTTTTTGTAGATATTGTGGGAGATGCTATTGCAGCAGAGTCGGAGAATGAACAGACAGAAGGAGAAGAGGGAGTTGAGAACCTAGATGGTGATGAAGAAGCGGCGGATATTGAATAAAGGAACATGAATACTTATTATAATCGCAGTTTTTTAAGTTATCTTTATAACGCAGATTTTCTTTTGTAATAAGGTACCAAGCCACAGAATTTTGCTAAATAAATTATTTTCAAGAAAATGTGTTACATTTTCTCTACGCAGTTGTCATCAGGATGTAGTTTTTCGAGTTGTAAGCGTATTATGTCAGTCCTGGATAAATATAGAAAAGACCATGATTTCAGGATTTACATAAAATTTACAATGTCTCGAAAGAATGTCAGGGCGGCTTAGGTCCCTTGTTGCCCCAAGCCCTTCAATAAGTATATTTTCTGGAAGTCCCCTGATCACTTTCATAGAGAAACCTGTGGATTGATCCAACATAGATAAGGCTCATTAATATTTTCAATGACAATTGTTGTTTCACAGAGAGTTGTATAAATAACTCATGTCAAAAAAGGAAGAACTATTTTCTACAGCAATCCCATATTTCAGTAACGAAGTCATAAAATGCAAAATCTAAACGTTTTTTTCATATTGATGATTCTTACTAGTACAGAAAAATCCTATAATGATAAAATAAAGTTTTAGAATTAGTTAAAGGAACATAATAGGTAAACAATAGAGACAGAATTCTTAATATTCAGCATTAAGATCACATTTCACTAAACATTTCGGCTTTCCTGCTGCTTACTTGCACATTTTTGATTCAGTATTTCTATGAAACGCATTAAGAAGAACGAGCCGTTGATGAATTATCCAGCTCCTACTGTTTTCGACGAATATCTAAACAACAGATAATTCATAATCTGCCAGATACCTCAGATTAATATTTTGATAAAAGCGTCTTTCCGTCGAATTTTACAATATTAAAGGAGCGTAGTAGCGAAATCGTGATTGTTGTCTGTGTTATAAAGGATACTGTACGGCAGCAAGTAATGAAAGCGTTTTATGTAAATTTAAAAGAGGCATGGTGGTTTGCTTGAGCGTTAACGTAGTCAGACTTGAAAAATAAAAATTGTAATGGAAGAAAAATTATCCGGCGCTGGTATTAAGTACTTGACGTTCAATGAATATTTCAGTATTGCTCAGATTAGACATGGTGTTCGAATGCACAAAATATCTTATCAAAAAATAACACACAAATGGTATTCTAAAACCACTTCAATCGTAAGATTGGATATTTTTGAATAATTTGAATGAATAGATTGTGTTGACAACCTCGTGGAATGGCAAACCAACATGATCCAGAGATTACATGATCAACGAGTGAAATATACAAGTAGACCTATTCACTGATTTTAGCAGTTCACAGTAAAACTCTGCTAGTATTTCTTTCATATCTTCATCTCCCTTATACATACTCATGTAATCTTTTGTACAGTTCAATGCTTTCAAAACACAGTACTGTACTTTGGCGAACAAAAAGCGTCCTAGCGCTCATCCAGTTTCGATGGACGTCCGACTTCTGCCAAGGAGCCACTCATTTCGGCTGTTCGGAGTCCAGTTCACCGAGGACCTGATCTGGCACGAACACATTTCGTCAATAGCTGCAGCTGCTGGGAAAAAGCTAGGCTACTTGTTCAGTGCTAAGAAGTACTTTTCTCCGCATGACCTTCTCACTCTATACAAGACGCAGATAAGGCGTAGCCTCGACTATTGCTCATACGTTTGGGGTGCTGCCGCCTCAACTACATTATCCATGCTCGTTGCTGTCCAGTGGAGGGCGGTCCGACTGATCAATGACTCTTCTCTAACAGACAGTCTCGGGACTCCTTCACACCGGCGGACCGTCGGCGATCTTTGTACCTCTACACCAACGGGCTTTGCTCCTCAGAGCTCTATTCTATGATGCCGTCGCGCGATGTGCCTGCCAGACAGACCCGCCTGACTTTGGCATCCCATCCTAACCGTGTCGAACTCTGTATATCCAGAACTGGCCGATAGGACTGCTCCTTTGTCCCGAGGGCGTCGAAATTGTGGAACAATCTACAAGAAGAAGCTTTTTCCAGGTCTACTAGCCTTAGGCAGTTCAAAAGTCGTATTAACAAAGTTTCTTCGGGATCATCATAGCAGCCGCGGTGTTTCGTCATTTAGGCTTCTGCCTGCGCGGCTGCTTCGATATACAGGGTTATCCAAATTAAGTGTCCACCATTAGTAACTTTGTTATTAGTGAAAATACAAAGTTGTTTGAATTAGCAAACTAGTAGCATTTTTAACGCTGGTAAAAATGAGAAATAAAAAAAAACAATTGAGAGTCGTTATTTTGATCTTTTTCAGTAAAATAACATTTTTTTAAATGGAAACCCCAGTATATTATATTTTTTTCTGTTAAAGCATCAAATTTTAAACAAAAAAGCTTACAATAACTTTTCTCCTAGGTTACAAATTGTTGAAGTTATGGCCTCCAATCTGAAACAATTAAATTGTATCGACAAACTTTATTTTCAACATCAACTTATAATCTTACAAAATACAATAACAATTTTTTTTAAAGAAGATGCTCGAAAACACCACCTTGTTCTTCAATACATTTTTGGGCACGTTTTTCAACTGCTCGAACAGTCTTAAGTATGGTCCTACCATCTATCTGGGTTATCTTTTCCCTAACTGCAGTCTTTAACGCGTCAAGGTTATCGTACCTTCGCTTGTAAATTTGGTTCTTTAAGTAACCCCACAAGAAGTAATCAAGTGGGTTTAGATCTGGTGATCTGGGAGGCCACTGTATTGGGCCATTTGTTCCTATCCACTGATCATTAAAAGTAGTACTTAGAAAATGATAAGTACCTCTGGAGTTGTGGGCAGGTGCGCCATCTTGCTGAAAATGCAGATGATGTCTACTTATAAGATCCAATTCGTCTAAGAAATTAGTCAGAATTTCTGACATAAATTCCACATATCTTTCACCAGTTAGGGTTCCCTCATAAAAGAACGGGCCAACAATTTTTGAACCAATTATACCGCACCAAACGTTGAAACTGAAACGGACTTGTGGGCCTCTTGGATGTACTAACAAAAGATTTTCTCTTGACCAATAATGGTGGTTTTTTCTATTAAACATTCCAGAATTTGAAAAATTTGATTCATCTGTCCATAAAAGGTAACGAAAGTTATTTACATTTTGGCGACAGAAGCTAAGATACCAATGGCAAAAAACAAGTCTTCTCTCTGGATCCCCTGCCAAAAGCGTTTGAACTGGTCGGTACTTATACGGAATAAATTTGTATTTTTTTAAAATCCTTTGAACAGTACCATAACTGAAATTAGAGTCCTTGAGAATATCTGCTATTGAATTCTCACGATAAGCTTCAAAATATCCAATAACTGCAATTTCCGTGGCCTCGCTTATTATGAATTCTTTTTTTGCCCTTGTTTTAGCAAAAACATTTTCGTTGCCCCTAAATTTTCGATAAAGTCTCAGAAAATATCGTTCATACGGTTGAATGCGAGCGGGATATAATTCACTGTAGTATTCTCTTGCTCTCAAGGAGGATTTTCTGCACACTAAATAGCATTCTAACATATCACACTTTTCTTTATGGGAGAACATTTTTCTTTAAATTAATGACACAATAAAGCTTATAAACAAGTATTTACACTAATGTTTGACATTATTTGATTTTATCATTGTTTTCCAAAGCCTTCTAGTTGCGAGTATGTCCAGTTTAACAATTTGTCGCTTATCTTAATGCTGTCAAATCGCGAACGCCATGTTGTTTTCATAGCCGTCTTAATATTATAATACTGCAAATAATTAAAAATATTTATCGTTATTTTGACTTTATTTTTGACTTTAGCGGAAAAGTCATTATGAACTTTTTTGTTTAAAATTTGATGCTTTAACAGAAAAAAATATAATATACAGGGGTTTCCATTTAAAAAAATGTTATTTTACTGAAAAAAATCAAAATAACGACTCTCAATTGTTTTTTTTTATTTCTCATTTTTACCAGCGTTAAAAATGCTACTAGTTTGCTAATTTAAACAACTTTGTATTTTTACTAATAACAAAGTTACCAATGGTGGACACTTAATTTGGATAACCCTGTATATATAAAAAATCTGCTTTTTGAATGTATCTTTTGTTGACATTCATAATATACAGCAATATCTGGAAAAACAATTGTTGGACATTTTAAAAGTTTGTGTATTGCCAAAAGGTGAATGAAAAAGACAGCCGGTATTATCCACTCCAAGGCTGCAAGACCGATTAGTGGCTGTGTTAAGGATCGGTTTGTGCAAGGGTCCTTTTTCCTCTGACATGGTTAGTCGATATGTTTACTTACCTCGTACGATGTTAATACCATCAAAAGTCGTAATACTTCATTACGCATTGAGGTTAACATTTTCTGAAGTTAATATTAAATAAGGTTTGAAAAAAATTAAGATTCCTGCTATTTTCTTTCTTATGTTTTAAAATAACTTTTTGATTATTCTAATATAGTTATTATTATTTTTTAATTATAACTAATTTACCATGTTACAAGATAGGTGTCTGAATCAAGCTTGATAACTTCCTCTGGCAGTCCTAGGCGTTGTAGCTGATTGAACTTTTAGATTTATTGCAGTATTGTAAACAGTACTTCTAGATTTCTAACAAATATTAGGCCGTTAATGGCTGCACGATATACGGTAGAGTTTGCTGCTTAAGAACAAATGCTTCCACTCTTTTATCATTCATTGACGCTATATAGCTCCCATACCACGACTTTGTTCATGGTTTGTTGTACTCTTGTCAAGGGGAAAGGGTGGCTTCCGGCAATATCAGCTACAAAACAAAGCTGGAGGAGTGTGTGGTGGTTCTCCGCAATGCCCTCCCACGCTGAAGATTAAAATCCTAATTGAAAATGGACGGGGTAGCACCCAAACCAAGACAACTAAACGTAAGGTACTACTCCACAAACTTATGTTCGCCATCTAATTTCCCAAAATTTGAAGGTTAAGCATATGGCGCTCACACCACAATCTCGGGAAGAAAGTGACTGGCACGAAACACCTAACTTTATAAAAGAAGGTTCAATGAG